TGGTGGAAAATAAGTCTTTGGTCAATAACAAAAGTTCATCTCAATACTTTGTTATATACCCTTTGTTGGCAATGACAGAGGTCAAACGTTTTCTGTAAGTCTTCACAAGGTTTTCACACATTGTTGCTGGTATTTTGGCCCATTCCTCCATGCAGATCTCCTCTAGAGCAGATGATGTTTTGGGGCTGTCACTGGGCAACACAGACTTTCAACTCCCTCCAAAGATTTTCTATGGGGTTGAGATCTGGAGACTGGCTAGGCCACTCCAGGACCTTGAAATACTTCTTACGAAGCCACTCCTTCGTTGCCCGGGCGGTGTGTTTGGGATCATTGTCATGCTGAAAGACCCAGCCACGTTTAATCTTCAATGCCCTTGCTGATGGAAGGAGGTTGTCACTCAAAATCTCACGATACATGGCCCCATTCATTCTTTCCTTTACACGTATCAGTCGTCCTGGTCCCTTTGCAGAAAAACAGCCCCAAAGCATGATGTTTCCACCCCCATGTTTCACAGGTATGGTGTTCTTTGGATGCAACTCAGCATTCTTTCTCCTCCAAACACGTCTAGTTGAGTTTTTACCAAAAAGTTCTATTTTGGTTTCATCTGACCATATGACATTCTCCCAATCCTCTTCTGGATCATCTAAATGCTCTCTAGCAAACTTCAGACGGGCCTGGACATGTACTGGCTTAAGCAGGGGGACACGTCTGGCACTGCAGGATTTGAGTCCCTAGCAGCGTAGTGTGTTACTGATGGTAGCCTTTGTTACTTTGGTCCCAGCTCTCTGCAGGTCATTGACTAGGTCCCCCCGTGTGGTTCTGGGATTTTTGCTCACCGTTCTTGTGATCATTTTGACCCCACGGGGTGAGATCTTGCGTGGAGCCCCAGATCGAGGGAGATTATCAGTGGTCTTGTATGTCTTCCATTTTCTAATAATTGCTCCCACAGTTGATTTCTTCACACCAAGCTGCTTACCTATTGCAGATTCAGTCTTCCCAGTCTGGTGCAGGTCTACAATTTTGTTTCTGGTGTCCTTTGACAGCTCTTTGGTCTTGGCCATAGTGGAGTTTGGAGTGTGACTGTTTGAGGTTGTGGACAGGAATTTACCAATTAATTCATTAAAACTCCTACAATGTGATTTCCCGGATTCTTTCCCCCAATTCTGTCTCTCATAGTTGAAGTGTACCTAGGATGAAAATTACAGGCCCCTCTCATCTTTTTAAGTGGGAGAACTTGCACAATTGGTGGCTGACTAAATACTTTTTTGCCCCACTGTATGTGCACATCTTAAAGCAGCATTTTACCCGGGAATAATTCCAATATGTGAATTTGAAGACTATGACCATTGACTTTTCATGTACTGTATCAGTGCAGTGCATCGGTAGTACCGGCAGCATCTGGGCTGCGGTAACTGATTTTGCAGTGGTCCATCTCTCTGTTGTAGACATGAGCAAAGGCTGTGAGTGCTCTTTTGCCGTCGATGATGTATGGGTCTAACGGGAACATCTGCTTGTTCTGTCGGCCACATACTAAAAATATGTGACCTTTGCCCTTTCCCGCACACTTCTACCTACATACAAACATCTTCAGGGCACATATTCCTTCTTTTCCAGCCTTATCTGAAATAACCAAAGGGGACAAGGCTTGCTGGAGATCACTGCAGAATCACAATGTAAAGTCGATTAGCGAACTCACGTCCTTTCACCCCTCCTCTCTGTAACCCCCTGTGGTGAGATTAATGCCGGGTGGGGGAAATATAACATAGTTTAATTAAGCCCGAGCCCACAAGATTCATGGACTCATTTCTTTGTCTGACAGTGCAAATGAAGGTTCAAAAGGTGCGAGGCAGGAGGAGAGACACCCTTGACTAGCTGTTGGGAGAGTAATGAATGTAATGGTGCACATAGGATAATGATTCCCCCCTTAGAAGTCTTGGATTTTGTAAGTGCCTTCTACAAACTTTACTGCGGCTGCCACTCTCTATGTATGAAAGATAGATGTCGTCGGGAGCATTAAGACATACAAATTGATACACACAGGTACGGAGAATAAAAGATGTAAAAATAAATCCACTTTGACGCTATAGGGAGCTGTGAAAGTTGCACATTTGATAAATGTATGCATAAATGCTTTGACATGCAGTAGGCAATCAATTGCTAGGAATTGATTGCTCAGGAATTAGTCTGTCGTGAGCCTGCAATAAAAAAAGAAGATGCATTTTAATGAACCACGCTGGGACTGGAAACGAGTTGAGCGCAGAGACAGGATCATAGGCGTCAATCTTGTGTGTTCCATGTCAGTAACATAAAGTATTGTTTAATAAAGCGTTCTCCTGGGTATAACTGAAAACTAGCAAAGAGGGTTCAAATGGATATAGTATTGACCTCTTATAATGTCCTTGTTATAAGAGGTCAATAGTACCCGGTTTCAAATGTGGCCTGGGACTGTGTGCCATGTGTCTTTCAGAGCTATCGCTCAAATAAAGTCACTGGTTGCCCAAAAAGAACAAAATAAAAAAATAAAATCCAATTGATGCAAAGGAACCAGAGATTTCTATGTTATGCCATGCACCCTTCTGCGTCAACCTGTAGCTTATAATACTTACAATGCAACTCTGAACACTGACTCATCGCTTTCAAAATGCACGCCCCAAGATTTCACTTGCAAGCTTGAAGTCTCTGATTGACTAAAACTTTACTTAAATGTTTTTTTTTTTACTTTAAAGAGAGCGAAATTACATTCAGGCAACTAGAACCTGACTATAATTCAGGATGGCGTTGATTAAAAAAACTACACAACTAGTAACATTAAACACAGGGCTAAGATTCAATTCAAAAATAAGTAGCTCACAAAATTAACACTACCTTTTGATTGAGCTTTAATATGTTAAATTGGTGGACTTCCCCTCTAAGTGTCTTTATAGTGCCAATCCCAGAAAAACAGGCACATTTCATTTAGGGCCCAGTGCAAAAGATTAAGGGAGAGGCAAATGCTTTTAATAAACAGCTATTCCTTTGTCTGCACTAATGCTTTTACACACAGTTTTTATGGATTGTGTCATGTCCGAGAGTCTTTTTGTTGTTCTTGCTGCTGCACACACAACCTTGGTATAATCAAAAACCTTCCCATACCGTAGGGCCCTGACTCCCTATGAACCAACAGCCGTGCCTTGCACTAGATCACTGTATTGAATTTCTATATAATTAAATTCACCAGGGACATTTCAAGTGGAAGATGCACAGGAACTATAGTGAATGAATAGCTTCTCCTTTCAGCTGAACAAGCTCTAATGCGTTTCACTCAATTTAGCCAATGGACTTAGCCCATTGCTGTTTAGCTGATTGTTATTTCCTATCCTGCGATCTGTCTCTGACTCTCCATTGCATTTACCTTGAAGAACAGGCATGGCAGAGTCATTTGGCAGCACTAATCAATATCGTTCTCTCTGTGCGAAGGACTTATCAATTTCCAGCCTGTGCCTTGAATAAGAGTCGAGGAAGACTTTGGCTTATTCATTAAGTACAGTTGTTTCTTTTTTTTCCAAGATAAGTATATTAAGGCAGTGCCATTTAATTTGCACGGAAATCAATTTCCCCTCCTGCCTTCACTCTTGGAATGCAGGTAAAATAGCGGCGGAGCAATTACAAGCAAAGAGATTTCTATTGCGTTTTACCATTTGTCTGAGTTTGGCTGCGGCAACTTGTCTTGTCGAATGCTAATCGGGGGTTTGTAGATTTGCAGGGCCCCGGCAGAGGAGGATATATCTGTGAATAATGGATGAGTTAATGTTGGAGAGAACTCATCCTGAAAACTCCTGCTTTTTAAGAAACACTGCTGAAGGAACGCACACATAGATATCCTTAACTGCCTAGTCTTGGTAGACAGTTCATTTGGTGATTTAACTCTCCTTCAGAACAGTTATTTAATTGAAGGAAATATCATGTCTATTATCCAAAAGAGGTTGAAAATGAAATACATTTTGCCTAAAAAAACACTTACTGTGGATCAGAATATCCATCAGATTGGTAAATATTGTGTAACAGAGCAAACAATAGCTTTATGTATTTAAAAAATGATACTCTTCACATTAAAGATAGTCTAATTGTTATCTAGGATCACCAAAAATGTGATAGAAGACACAGGTTGTCATACTTTGGATAATTGTGTGTTAGAGAGAAAGACAGGACAATTGTCTGTCTGTGTACCGAACATTAGGTCATATTTTCCGGGTCTTCATGGACCCAGCGGGAACTACTCTGCCAATCTAAAAGTTCAATTTAAACCTCTCCATCAGATTTATCTGACATTACAGCCCGCCAGAGAGTCTTTTTAATAATCCACTTCAAACCCATTAGATGATTTCAGTGAAGTAAAAGAGATGAAGAGGAGGGGAAGTTTGGACAGTGAGGACATGGTTGGTTGGCTATTTGATTTATTGAAAGATGTCCAAGAAAGACTTATCCGTGATCCAATAATGGTTTGATAACTGTTTATATTGGACTTTGTTTCATTGGAATTTGAAGCCTTAAATCGCTGTAAAGCTGTATTTATTAGCATGAAATAGTGCTTGCTAAAATATAGATTTTATAATTGATTTAGTGATAGGAATGAGACTAGATATTGCCTTCGATTTGGATTCCCTAAGTGGCATTAGTGAGCATCTCAAAGGCTCCCTTGACATTTCGGTATATTGCAGAAACCAATCTCTCTGTGGCAAACACACATTTATGATACTTACTTGTCTTGTTCAGCAAGATAATATCCACATATTAACACCACTTTGTGATTTTTGAAGTGTAAATGCAATCATTGGAAGTAAAAAGCCAACCACGCTAAGCTAAAGGCGGCTAATGCTCGGTGTGATGACATTAAGTAGTCTCTTACAGCCCCTTGTTGGCAACCACCATTTTTTTGACACATAAGTTTGTATACCCCAAAATGATTGATAGAATAATGAATCTAAAATGGCCCCTCATGTATTTGTGTTCTTGTTTTACAGAGGAGCTACGGAAACTCAGCTGGTCTGGAATCCCACGACAAGTCCGACCGATAACGTGGAAGCTCCTTTCGGTACGTTTTTCAAACATCATACTAACACACACACAAATGTACATTAAGACACATTGAAACAAACATTTATTTGTGTAAACAATAAATAACAACAATAATTAATTTTTTTTATATACGAAGTGTAAACTAGGACCTAACAATTGCGCACACACATTGCAAACATTGCACGGATAATAAACACGTTGGATAGGATCTTGCCTAGGCACACACACCAAAAGTGGCCGTCATGTCCTCTCTCCCAACACCCTCCCATTTTTGATTTATGAAGTCCTGCTTGTTCTCCAAACTTCAATAGGGAAAATTAATTGCGAGGCACAAATAATTTATTCATGAGACACGCGGTGTGTTTACTCATTAAGCCATTGTTGCGCTGTACAGCTCTTAGTCTGCAGAGAGAAGACTGGCTTTTTGAACACCATGACTCTCCCATTAATTACCACACAATGGCTAATGTGCCGCAGAAAAGATGCCATTAAAGGTGTGTGTGTTTGTGTGTGTGCTTGTGTTTTTTGGTGGTGGGAGGTAACCAACTGGGTGCTTTCACTTTTAACGACTGCTTTGTTTGGTACTCTAGTGAAGTGGAGTTTTATAATGCCGTGTGAAGTTGAAGGGAACCTCAGCACTTTCACTGCGGTGTGTGTGTGTCTAATGTACCATAGATAATACCCCATTAATGGTTTGTTTGAGGTTGTGTTCAATTGTGCATGTTTATCTGTCCGTGTTTGCACTATATAGGTTACACAAGCATGCATGTGTGGCTAGTGTGTGTTCATGCGTTACACCTGCTGTTTACATGCAGGCCGTGAACACTGCAGTGGACATTGGGCTTTCAAAGCATAGCTGCCCCGCGGCCTGTATAAATGATGACTTCTCCGCCTGAAGGAGGCTGGAGGAACCAGACCAGGTTCACAAATAAAGAAAAAAAGGGTAGGGTATGACATGGTTGTGGGATTAGAAGACAGAGTTCTACATTTCAAAGTAATTCAGCATTAAAGAAGTATTGAAGTCAGATTTTGGAGAGAGTTTTTCTAGCTGTTTCTCTATGATTCAAATGTCTAAGCTACTCACCTCCTGCCTCTTCCTTATATGCTTTCACATTCACATGCGCGATGCGTGCCCCCTTGGACCCGCTTCCCCCCAAAAAAAGAACTCATGCTACCAACTAGCCACGAACACAGGCTAATTCAGGTACAGCTAACGCCAAAACAACCCAACTAACTCCCGGGTCACGATAGACGAGCCCCCAGTTGTTATGACCGGCCCGTAGGCCATAACAGACAAACAGAGAGAGACGTTCAAGGGTTCCAAAAACCACGGCACTTTATTTGTGATCGTTCCAAACGCAACACCGGAAACAGGGGAGGATGGGCGAGGGGACAGGATCAGCTGGGCTTAAGTAGCACCTCGGCTCCGGCCAGGTGTCCCCGGTCATGCTGATTGGCCTCTTCAGCTCCACCCCCATCGCAGGACCTGCAACACACCTGCACACTCACAAGCCCCAGGCTCTGGGGCCGTCACATACCTTACAGACTGAGGATGTTCTTATCATATTTATTTGCCCCACAATTTGTGTCTTTTAATTTTAAGTAAACAGTGATACTAACTCCTGATCATATTTCCAAGATAATAAAGGAACAAAGAAGTACACACTTCAGGCATATCAAAGTAATTAAAATCAATACAATGTAGATGCTTGACGACCAAATAGCTCTGCGTTGATCTAGAAACATAAAAACACTCTAATTCTGCGTTGTTATCTATTTATTATATCAAGTTTAAATGCAATATAAAATAACAAAACTCCTAGCTTTTTTGTGGTCATGACTTTGATGACCATATAGGGGGCCTTTTCACTTCAACTCAAGAGCCATATCTGAAGTTATCGCAGGTTTTCGATACATTTCTAATCTAATGCCACGTGCAGCGCGGGTTATCCCAGGGTTAAACCCCAGGCTTGGATTACAGCCAAAAGTAGGCACACTGTCAAAAGCAATCATATCTTCTCAAGTGTCAGAACACTTGACTGCTTTCTCTGTCTCTCGTGTGATCCAGTGGAGAAATAGATAGGGGGGGGGGGGGGATCAGGCTAAAAAAATCTATTCTCCTTCTGGCACGCACGCAGACACACAGCCCCTACTTGTATTCCATAAACTTGGCAGAGGCACCTAATAAAACTTCACTCCAGTGGTGTCCCTTGTGCCCTTCTCCTGCTCACCAGCCTGCACCAACTTATTGGATTCTTTCTCCCCTCCAGCAGCCGTGCCTGAGCCTCTCTTCTTTACCCGACAAAGATGAGAAACAAGTTCCCCCCCCTTCAGGTTAGAGCTCCGTAATGCTCTCAACGGCCCCGCACTTAACCGCCACATCACAGGAACCCCATACAACTGTCTCCATCGTTGTTAGCCTGTATGTAAATATTAAAAAGCAGTCAAGAAAGAAGAAAGAAGAGCCTCACTGGATAGCTCTTGTTTTTTATTTCTCCGAGAAGCTCCACAGGTCGCCCCCGGCTTCAGAAATGTATCCTGTTGAACTTCCTATTATTTCACACATCTTCTTTAATTTTTTTCCTTAAACAGCACTTTGTGTCCAAGCCTGAAGGAGAGCGAATATTTGAAATGGCTTTTCTTGCTTTTTGAAGGAACGTCAGCCTGTGGGCAATATGTACATCTGCTAATGAAGTGTGGCTATTAAATGTGAGGTGGTGGGAGAGGAGAAAACTAACTGGCTGTGGAAATATTGATAAAACTCCAGGGTAATGTGAGCCGTTCCAGGCAGCAGCGGCACTCTGAGATAGATTTAGATGTTATAGCGTTACCTTTACAACAGCACGTAATTATATCGCCCGAGAGGAAAGAAGGATGACGTGTAATCAACATCCCTCGGTTTGCACAGTCTCGCGCCTCGATCCTTTTTCTTCCTTTTCATTTTCATAATGTAGATTATAAACACGAGATACGCTTTCAACTCTTAATAAACTACAAGCAGATGTTGTCAACTTTGGTGGTGTGGGGTGACAACCTCCATCTGCTTTGGACCTACTCTAAAGTAGACTTTAAATTAATTGTTAATCATGATGTTTAGGACAAAGAAAAGTGTGCAACATAAAAGAACAATAAATTAATCGATAAAGTATTAAGACGTAAAGACAACTGAAAGGATAAAGACCATACTGCTATTTAACTATTTGAGTGACAATTCAATTATAAAATGTAATATATCTTTTAAAGCAAGTACTAAAACGGAGTGAAATAAAAACCAGATTCAATAGGAAAAAAATGTTAAACGATAATAAATAGTTATTTACAAAATCAGTTAAATACAATACCATTTTTTTATTTAAATACAATCAAAATGTTATTTTGGAAAATAATGGAAAATGTCTATAAATCTAAATCGTAGTCCTGGCTATTTAGATATGTTTACAGTTTATGTTTAAATATTTTTAACCAAAAGGAAGCAAGTTCAAGTCGATCATTAGATATCAAAGAAAGCATTTCCATTCATTCAGATGACTTCTTTTATATATATATATATATTAGGGGTGTAACGGTTCACAAACGTACCTCGGTTTTTTGGTCACGGTTCGGTTCGGTACGTTTTCGGTACAGCAGAATTTTTTTTCACAAAACAAAACATATATATATTTTTTTTATTATTATTAAACTGTGAATAATGTATTCACTCAAATAAATACAAAATATAATAAAATAAACATTAAGGTGCAGCATTTCGATGAACTGAAATAATCTGTATTTGAACTTTACTGTAGGCTACTAGTACTCACAAAACATAAACTATTAGTTTTGGGTTTTTAATTATTATTAAACTGTGAATATTCACTCAAATAAATACAAAATATAATAAAATAAACATTAAGGTGCAGCTTTTCGATGAACTGAAATAATCTGTATTTGAACTGTACTGTACTAGTACCTAAGCAGCCAGTTTGACATTAGGACTTGCTTGTCATTGTATTCTCATGTTGTTCTAAAGAAAGATGAACTTGTCCACATTGCTTGCCGAAAGTGCAGATCTGCTGGCACTAACAATGTCTCCTGCTGTGGAGAACACCCTCTCTAGGGACAGAGGTAGCAGACACAGCCAGGTAGCGCTTTGCTAACATGGCAACATAAGGATAGTTGGCGTTTGTAATAGCTTTGGCTCGGTCTGAACTCTCTGCGAGTGGTGGTAGCTTAAATGCTAGCGGGAGTTGGGTTTGCACTTCAGTCTTTTTTCTTTTGGTACCGGTGATATTCACGTTCGGGTGATGCCTTTTCAAATGAGTGTGCAAGTTTGATGTATTGCCAGCCGCGTAACCAATTTTAGTTGAACAATGCCGACAAACAGATTTGGTTCGTTCCACCTGTCTTTGTCCTTCATCCTTGTTCGTAACTGCGAAACCAAAATGTTCCCAAACCGGAGACTGTAAAGCCGTTGTGTCCTTGGGCAAGACACTTCACCTGAACTTGCTCCTGTGGGTATTGCCCACAGTGACCATTGCATGTATAAAAAAAAGAAAAGTGTAATGTGTATTTGTAAAGCGCTTTGAGCATCTGGAAAAGCGCTATAATAAATGTAAGGTATTATTATTATTATTATTACTTCAATGATGCTGGAGGATTTTCGAGCTCAACTTTATCTGCGTTCGCCATTAATTTTCGACAGTTCCTCAAATTACTGACTACATTTGAACGCATCCCTCTGACCAGCTCTCATAGTATGCCTCTCATCCAATGAAATTACTTGCTCGCTCTATGACGCGTTGAACCCAATGTGACCAAATTACTCTGAATGCTGCGACGCAGCACCTGAGATTACTTCCAAAAAGTTGTTCACGTTCTCAATTTTTTTACGTTTAACGTTATATTCGTTCGGTACACACCTGTACCGAACCGAAGGGCCCGTACCGAATAATTTCGGTACGTGTACCGTTACACCCCTAATATATATATATATATATAGATATAGAAGTCATATTCGGGTGTAAAAATGCAAGTGTCACAAGCTTGACACTTCTTTAAAATCATCACTGAACAATTTCCCCCTGATTTCACTTATATTTGGCTGTTTTTAAATATGTATATTGGTCATTTAGTTTCCAAAGACTCAGACAGTGTGGAAAATATTGTCACACAAACTATCAATTCTAATCATTTTCTTATGTACATTTAGTGTCACACAGTTGCATCATTTTGACTCACTTGATCTAATAGTTGTATTCTAGATTGACACTGTGATATTTCCAAACTCAGTTTTCCAGATCTAAGTTTAAAAATGGATGTAAATGGAGATAACATTTGTTTGTTCAACTTTTGCATTGCCCTCAATGAGACAGGAATCAATTTAGATTGCGAAGAGACAAATTCCCCAAATGGAATCCCCAAGCATATTCCCCCCCCCCCTGTTATTTTTCACAGAGAGCTTTTAGAGGGACGGAAAGAGCGAGGAGTAGATTGATGCAAGGAAGAATGAAGAGATGAGGTTTTTTGTACGCTGATTAGCGGCAGCAGGAGGACGCTCTGGGCCGCCACATTCTGCACCCCCGACAGGTCATGCGCAGCCGTCATGCATTTATGCTTCGTCTTCCATCTCTGTAAAAAAAAAAAAACTGCACTCACCCTTTCTAGCCACATATAAAATGGAAATTAGCCACTCGGGTTCAAACGTAAGTTCACTTGGAGCTGAGGCACTTTATGCACTTTACTGTGAGATATACTCACTTTTTTTCAAAGAAAGGCACATTGCGTGTGCTGATAACATCCTTTTAACCACTTTTAAATATACAGAATTATGTTAAAATGATATATTTTGCATGGCTTTGGTTATCTGAGAAACCATAACATGCTGCACATTGAAATACTTTCCGATATCATTAGTGATAAATAGTAGTAATAAAATAAAATCACAGTTGAGTGTATAACACAGCTTGTGTCCTGTTTATAGTCTTCAAATCCCCGGTGTGTGTGTGTGTGTCCCATGGAGCAGTAATGCAGCTGCAGTGTGATTGACCTCCACTAAGCTGTCCATTAACCTTCAACACACATGCTCTCCTCTCCCTCATTTGGCACAGTGCACATGGCATCGGAGCCCACTGTTTTGTAGCTTGTGTTGTTTGTGTGTGTGTTTACTCGTGTGTTTGCATATGGAACCCTTTCAACATGTGACGCAGGGACTTTTTGGCAAAGAGCAACGGGGAAAAAGTCCCAGTCAGCAGGGAACATGAAGTGTAACGTGGGAGTTTTACGTCATAACACACTCAAATTAGCAGTATTTCTTGTTACGTGTCTTGCCAGGTGTATTTGTGTGTCTCTGCAAGCAAAGAAAAGAAAAAAAGAGCGCCTCGACTCTTTCTAGGTTTCTCAAGGGGCTTTTTTTAGGTAAACAAGTAAACACTTTTATGTTTTTCCTCTTGACAGTTGAGCAAAATGTATACCTTGTGTGTTTTCTACCAATAAAAGTAAGCCTGCTTCCAGCAAACAGCAGTCACAACAAAGACTCACTTCGTCAACCAACACACACTTCTATTGGACTATTCAGAACTGTTGTGTTTTTACAACCCTGATCGTGTGCAGATAGATAACTTTAGTTTGATGGTGATTCCACTAAAGCCAGTCCAAAATATATGACTATGTATTCTTAGGAAAAAATTGAAGTTATGACCAAAATATGTAAAGGGACAAACCGACTCACATCTGTCTGATATGAGCATGGATGACAAGTCAATCGATTGAACATCTTAAAAATAGTTGACAAAAAAAGTACTAAGGTAATATAGCTGACTCAGAATAGTCTGGAGAAACAGAAAGAGTGCAACTATTCTAAAATGAGGCAGAAATACAAAATAAAATACGACTACTTATAGCCAACAATAGGTAATACAATTAGTCTACACTGTTTTTTGAGAATAATATTTTTCTGGTAGGTCAACTGGCAGTGTAATGCTTTTCCCCCGTGTAACGTTGGTTTATAAAATCTCAGAAAACAATAAAAGAAGCCCAACACAATTTCCTAGAGCCTAGAGTAACATCTTTAAACATCTTGTTTGGTTCAATCAACTTTTTAAAACTTTATTATTCTAAAAACACGGAAAGAAATATTTCTATTTAAGAAGCTGGAACCAGAGAATCCTAAAAAAAAACTAAAAGAAGAAATTGATTAACAAAATAGATGTTGCAGCTTTATTATCTGTAAATCACAGACCTGTATGAATACTTATTGATTTTTGTTTGGGTGGAAAATATCCCACAATACAACATTAAATACCATTTGTTTGTAAGGCTATTGTAGAACATGATTACATTGTAACCCTCTTTGTATTTAATCACCATAATGGTACTTGTGTTAATGCACAAAAGGCAACAAAGAAAATGTGTTCAACCTTTTTAGGTTTAAGGACTACTAATTCCATCTTTTAATCTCGCGGTGAGTGTTTTTAAAAAAAAGCCAGCAGCAGTCATTTTTGAGTTCTGTCTTCAAGTGTGTGAATATTTCAGAGCCCCTGGCCCCAGCTCTCGCTTTTAATACACTTGAGATGTGTTGTTCAGTTTAGCGTTGACTTTCTCCTCATTGCATAAGCCCGGCTGCACAAAGAGGGGACACACTTTCACAAATGTATGCCCGCATTAACACATTCCCAGAAGCATTTTCACACACACACTCATAAAAAGGTAGTTCCCCTAAGAGGCGGAAAGCATTTTGTCAAGCAGAAGAAGGTCTTCCCCACAAAGTAACGTGTGTCATTTAGTGTAATCCCAGGTGGCCGTCATTTGACTTGGCCAACAGACTCTAAATAAATCGAGGTTTAAAACAAGAGTTTAGAAATAAAAGGCTCATCATGTAGTAAATAGTGAAGGACAAATAATTAGGAGAGTCGCACAACATGAACTGCACTTTGATACTGTGAGCAGGCGGTGTTACTGAATATCTGTGGAGCGGAAGGAATGAGTCCCATGTGGAAGCCACAAGCGTGACCGTGAGAATGCCTGTCACAAACAGACAGGTATATTAGTTTGGAGACTAGTATGAGTTATTTGTTAAAGTTTGTATGCGCCTGTAGTAGTAGTAGTAGAAGTAGTATTTGTTATTTAATACAGGCAAAAGATACACATGAAGGACACAACAGTATGATGAAATGTCAAGTCAAGAGTTAAGAGATCCCTTCAACATTTCAAATGACTGACTATGTTTTTATTATTCCATATAATCCCACTCTTTGTTAGAGCAATTTATTTTTTGGCTTTGCATTGTATTTTTCTTTACCTTACATTTAGATACATCCTCGATTGAGCGTTAAGAATAAGTATTTTACCCTACAGAATCATTTTATCTATCTTTGCACTATTTTCATTCAGAACCAAAATGTTCAAAAGTGGGAATTTAATTTCTTTGGAAATGTTCAGTTTCATGCAAAGTTTAGCCACGGCAATTTATGTTATATTAAAAAACCAAATGGTCTCTCAGACTATTTCAGTTTATCCTTACATGTAGGTGGACCCTTGCAGTTTCAAATAAATTAGATTTAAGGATATTGTAAATGTGAAATACTACATTTTGGGAAATGTGCTTGTTTTCTTCCTGACGGTTAGACGGGAACATCAATACCACTCTCGGTTATATCATTTAAATCTAACAGGAGACGATTATGTTAGCCTAAATGTTGTGAACGGGGGGGAAATGGCTCTTTCCAAAGATAACAAAATCCACAGCTCACCAATTAACACATCATATCTTTACAAAAGGTGTTAAAATAGCATCTCCATCTTGTTTCTAATCATTTACCATCAGCCCCGAGCCCATGAGTATTAATTATAGTTGGGTGAACAGCTATATTTACCATTTGCTAAAAAAAAATATTTACATTTCTTTGTCTCTTCTCTTGTTTAGGGTTACCTACCAGCCAACGCAGAAAGAAGAGAGAGCGTCCTACAGAGAAAGAGACAAGAATATTTCGGCTTCATCCAGCAATACTACGACTCTCGCAATGACGAACACCATCAGGACACGTACAGACAGGTAAACACACACACACACACACACACACACACACACACGTCAAACTGATCCTGTTTAATCGTTCTTTTTACGTGTGACTTTTTAATACCTGTCTGAATCCTACAACTCGATGGACGCAATGAAAGCAAACTACAAGAGGTTCCATTTTAAATTACAATAACAACTTCCTGTCCATGATGTATTCCCTCAGCAGAACATGGTTGTTTGTTTGTGTGTGTGAGAGAGTGTGTTTTGGCAGGATTTCAGCCCTGCAGACAGGATTACTGGAACCAATTCCTCTTTCTCCCTCATGTACTCATTGGACTGTTGTGTGTCTGTTTGTGTTGACATGTGTGTGGTCGAGCTCTGTTCACAGGGTAGGGACAACCAGCCGCGAGCTTCAGAGAGAGCTGCTTCTAAATGAACACTTTTCTTTTGGCTCTGAAAACTCTTTCCCTCTCCTCCCCCGACATTCTCTTTCATTTGAACACTCCACTATTTCCCATTCATTCCAGGCCGATAAGTAACATCAAAGTGGGCTGTTGACAGCAAAAACACACATTTCTCATATTCCGTCCAATTCCGTCTTGACGTCTCATTTCTGCCAAATTCTGCCTCTTCCAACTAAAAACAGCACTGCTGGTGACTGAGCGGTGATTGTAAGTTAAAACATATCAAAAATAGCACATGACTGTAGTTTTTTGTGACTGTAGATATACTTGTATGCATTACATGAAGCTATATGTTTGTGTGTTTTTGCTCACAGGATAGACGATCCAATTTCCAGTGTCAATGTGTCTCAGTAATTAGTGTCTCCTCTCGTGTCTGTCCATCTGTTCCTTTTGTATATTTGTTTACGTTGTTGGTAGCTTGCCCAAACGGCCCGTGTGTATGGGTTTACACATAAATATGGATGTAGCCGTTGTAGAAGTCCCAGCTGCTTGAAGTACCGCTGTGGTTTTGTTTCATCCCAAGAGAATCTCAGCAAACCTAGCTTTGTTATTTTTTTTAGGCTACATCTGTGTGTTTGAAACAACTGATTTAATTCAACTTTATCAAGCATGTTTCACCACTAGGGGGCAGACATATTCCCTAAACACACTCACATTTACTTACTCGCCACCTGTCGTATGTTAGCTCCACATTTGCTTATCTTAACTGTCTTTTACTCAGTTACTTTATCATTGTGCCATTTCATGCTTTTCTACTGTTAGCCTGTGTGATTCTGTAAGCTAGCAGTAGCTGCCTACTGTTATATTTGGGGTAGTTTGAACAATATAGGCCAGGAAATCAAAGCAATTAGCAGAATGCTGCTGGAAGCTGCACACAGAGTTTGATTCCCAGTTGGATGATTATCATAAACATTACAGAGACTATGGTGAATCCCCCACAAAGGGTAAATAAAGTACATGTTCACAGTAAGACTCTGATTTTCCATAGTTAACTCGCAATTAATCGCGAATGAACCACATATTTTGTATCTCTTCTAAATGTAATGTAAAGGGATATTTTTCAAGTTGTTAACACTCATCAACTTGGTAGTGGACAAATATGCTTTATTCCAAAAAAAACAAGTTCCAAAACAATGAAAGCTATAGCCACTCACCTCAGGATATCTTACAGATGCAAAGAACGATGAAATATTAAACAAAAGGGGACTTCTACATTGGTTTTCATGAGTATTAATGTGTGTGAGTGTCTCAACCCCTTTCTCTCCCATGTTGCTGTCAGATCCAAATAGACATTCCTAGGATGAGTCCTGAGTCTTTGGTGCTGCAGCCAAAGGTGACAGAGGTAAGGCGGACCGAGCAGCCCGGAGCAGCTCAGCCGCTGTCCCGCATCCGTCTGACCAATCTGTGCCTGTCACATTGTGTTTCTGCAGGGGGGGGGGGGGCACTCTGAAATGGTGTAAACGTGGTCCAACGCTAAAGAAAACATACTCTCCACCACATAGAGGCCAACACATGCACACACAAAACCACCATCCATTTCAGACCACCGAACGCCCCCCCCCAGCCTGCCTTCAATCAAGGATACAATCCCCTAACTGTTGCTCTCTCTGTCACTGTCTGTGATGCCCATATCTGTGCTAACTTGCCCGTTGCTTCAGTTTGTTTTTTCTCTCTTTCTCTCTCTGCAGATTCACATTGACATACCGAGAACTAATCCCCTTATTCCTCTCTTTCAACAAGCTTCTGTCCAAGAGGTGAGACACCCCCCCCCTCCCCCTCCCACCCTTACCCTGCACACACCACCTCACCTAGCAGGGTTTTCCTAGCCTGCTTTTGGGCAGATATGAGCGGGAGCATCATCATTAGCAATGATGTTTTGTGGATAATTAGCGAAAAGAAGTTGAAAAAGGTGTGAAAATTAAACATCAAAGAAAGTGTCTGCCTGGGAGTTTGATGTGGGAAAACCCTCGCTTCAGCACAAAGCATGTTCCGACACACACAGAAGCAAAGATAACTATAGAAGAATTATATAATCCTCACAATCAAGCATGTGATCAGATACACACACACACCCTGCACGGTTAGCTCCTACGTCTGCTTTGTTAGTGCTGAACAAAGCATTTCTTTTAGTGCATATAAGAACTCATTATCTTAAACCCGCATAAAACAATAACTACCAGCGGAGGTTAGGGCACATTAGGAAAACAAACGGCAATGCGCAGCATCCATAACTTTTAAATCAATGAGGCTGCTTTGGAAAAGAGTTACGTAAATACTAAATATGTAAATGTGGTGCAAGTAACTTTATTATGTGAGAAGTTGGCTCGGCTAATATTATGCTCCTTTTCAGGTTCATATTAGTATTTAGTGTCTCTCCTGTGATGTTTACATGTTTTAAAAGCTCTTTACTTGTCTCATACTGCCTGTGCTGCAGCACCTCTTTTCACCCTCTGTCTGAAACCAGAGCCCAGTCTGCTCTGATTGGTCAGCTGGTCGGCTTTGTTGCGATTGGTCAACTTAGAGATGTCCCGCTCGCATACAATGTGTGGGAGCGCAACCCAATATAATCGCGAGTGTGACATAGTGATGTCATTGTGTCACGGAAGTAAAGAAAGGAGTCTAATAAAGGCGTTTCAGGCGGGTGGGGGAGTGTGTGGGAGAAAAAACACACACTAGCCTTTGTATAGTAACTTAATTCCCCCCTTTTTCTTGTATAAGGGAACTTTTAAATGATTGTTAGTGTTTAATAGCAGTCTTAAGGCCCTGACACACCAAGCCGGTATCGGCTGTTCTCGTAAATCGGGAGACGAAGCGTGTCCTGTCGCCCAAACTCAATTTGGTGTGTCCCGAACCGTCGACCGTGACACGCCTTATTTGGACTGCCAGACCCGATCCATGGCCGATTCAACATGTTGAATCGGCCATGGATCGGGTCTGGCAGTCGGACCAAACAATCACTCTGATTGGCTGTTCAGCTAGCGAATCAGTGCATGAGAAGCGATACGGAAGTGAGGGACGTAAACAAACGATTTAAGAAGAAGGCACACACAGACTGATATTCATATTTAAATATAGCAACATCTTTAGCTTGCATACCTGTTGCCAAAAATCGCAGCGTAACCATCAGACGTGTCCCCACGGAGATGCAATCCGGGTAGTTGGTGTTTTCCCTCTGGGTGATTGGAGTGATGAGTTCCTCCAACGTGTGGAACTGCACAGGAAAAAGCTGAGCGAAGTTTCTGAAATCTGGCACTTCATTGAATTCCAGCTCTCGACACAGGTTCGGGAAAGCACCGTGAGCTTCTCGCTGTAGTATCCATGACTTCACCCATTAGTGCGGTTTCTCCTAATTCTTCGCTTCCGCTTCTTGAGAGACTGTTGCTTGAGAATGTCTTCCACAAGTAACACTGCAATGGCTGATAGCTCCAGTGCCGCACGAAACATGTTTTAGATGGACGAGAGGGAAAATGGAACGCACAAGCTATTTGTTGTTGTTTATATCACGGTCTGTTCTTCTTCTCTGTCTTCCGGTTGTTGCCTCTTTTGAATGACGAATACACACTACCGCCGCCTGCTGGTAAGGTGAGTTATTGCCACTCACGCACTGAAGTCTTTGCGGTGTGTTCCCGTGCGACACATGACCAAGACGCAGGAGAACACGGCCAGGCAACAGCCGACGTCAGCGTCGGCGAGTCCTCTGGTGACTGCTTGGTGTGTCAGGGCCTTTACACATCAGGTGCAATGAGGGGACATTTATCATGTACAAACTCGCACACGGTGCCTCAGGCAGCCTTTCTTCAACGGGATACAACATAAGCGGGGGAAAAGATCAGACAAGGGGGCTGTATAGTATGTTTTACAACTGTACATGTCCTCTACATTGACCTCCTTTTCCACTCATCCTGAACTTCTTTCTCCCTTTCACCTCCACACACCGACTCAACTAAATAAAAGCGATATATTCCAGCAGCGTGTGCCTCGTATAATTTGGTATGCAACAAACTCCCCCTCTTCTTTTATATGGTTATGCTTGCTGCGGTGCCACCTGAAAATCACCTGAGCTTCATTTCATTTCACTTGTTTGTCTGCGCTCCCTCCTCCCCACCACAACCCACCCCCCGTGGGGTTTGGAGAGATTTAGTCGAGATGGAAGGCAGTCAACAGTCTGTTCCATTTCGGGGAGAGAGGGATAGTGAAGTAATTTCCTAAGTGGTATCTAAGTGTTTGAGTTTTTCTTGTTCTGCAGAACAATGCAGTCTTTGCAAGATGTTGATAATCGGCAATTACAAGTTCCCAACGTGAAAAGAAAACATTCCATTTCGCCAAATTGTGATTAGAGCCGGATTTATCCGTGTCTCTCATATTAAGTAATATAATTTCATCTCAGATGCTTTTCGTCAATGACAAACTTAAAAGGGATGCACATTTTGATTTTAGTCTGTTTATTGGTGACATTTGAGCGATTTAGACCAGGATCTTTTGACAAAAGCATCATCATTAAGCCTTCTCTAACTTTTATTTTCAACTGTATGTCAGTGAAAAGTCCTTTTTACTTGACACCATTTTAGTTTTGTCAATTTCCTCTCCACCTCTAGAGAGTTCCCTTATCAGGGTCCTTGGGGTCTGGCACTAATTGAATGGAGCCATAGCGTTATGACACAGGGGTCACAGGAACGCTGATTTCCTGTCCTAGAGATGCTCTGCGTTATGACAAGAATATCAAATTCATGTGAGATTAACATAATTTCCAAGTCTGTTGAGGAGCGAGGGAACTCTGTGTAAACCGGGATCTTTTTCTTCCAGTTTGGTTGGTTCTTTGTTTGTTGTCTTTCACATCAGTGGGTATGGTGTGTGTATGCAGGGGTTCTCTCAAAGTGTGTAGGTGCCAATGTGAAATATGCACATCAGCGTTTGAGGTTGCAGAAAAAGAAAGTCCTATTACCCACTCCCCCTGCATCAGCCGTACCTCTCCCTGCTTGACAGATGGGACTTTGATAAGGAAAATAGAAGGGGTGAGCTGTGGAGGCAGGCGAGGGAGATTTAAGGAGAAGGTGTCTGGAAAAGCTAGAGAGAGTTGCACTTTACCAATCTCTCCCGCTATCTTAACATTGATCGAATTACTCTAAATAGAAATGAGAAGAAAAACACATGGCTGTTTTCTCTCGCTCCTTAAACTCCTAAAACAATGAGCTATGAGGTGATTTAGAAAGTGACAGAAACATGACATATTCCCAAAAGATAAGAAAGTGCTGGATGGGTGTGGTACAGCAAGGTGTGTGAGAGTGAGTGTGTATTTGGGGGGGGGGGGGGGGGAATCCATTTGAGCACCAGAAAAACAAGCTGAACATCATGCCTCTTGTAATTCACTGGGGCTGACAGCACTAAGTAGCCGCACATAATGAAGATGGAAGTGTTTGCCTTGCACAAAAATATTGAAATCAGGCAGAGAGAATGAGGAGGAGACTTAGTCAGAAGGGAAAAGCAAAGAGACAGATACTGAGTGCAAAAAGAAGAGAGGAGGGAGGAGACCAACACCAAAGCAGAAAATAAAGTTCAAAGTGATCTTTTTTATGAAGTAAGGATTAAGGCAGGGGTGAGGAACCTTTTTCCTCTCAAGGGCCATTATACATTTTTTCAACATCCTCCGAGGGCCGTACAGATTATTGACCTCTGCTTAAAAAAACTAAAATCACAGCCCATTCATTTGGCCTTTCTTTCATGCTGTGCAAAGAAAAAGCAACCTCTTAATCCAGATATTTTACCATGATGATGCATGCACGTGCACGGTTGTGGCATGAACACCAAAACGGGTGTTTACACACAAGATGTGTGTAAATGTATTTAGTTTCCTATCCATGTGGACATGATTTAAGTGGGGGGGGGACCTAACCTCCTCTAGGGGGGTTCGGGGGGCATGCTCCCCCGGGAAGATTTTGTTTTAAATGTTGAAGTTAAAAGCATCAATCTGGTTCACTTTGAGAGCAACATTAGGAGCTCTATGGATACATCTCTCAACACCCATATGAAACAGAACTGTAAACAGATTTACTTTTTCTTTATGGACATTTTTCAAATCACTCCCCTTTCAAACTGTATTCTTGTTTATTAATAACAACTTTTTTTTGACTGTCATATAGTATTTTATACCTGTTTACTTTATTATCTTATTTTTTTATAAATAAAAAGATATATAAAGATGTGCCTTTACCTCACTGGTTGGAGAAAAAGCTTCTTATATTCGTTAGCATAGCTAGCTAACCAGATGCTAATAACAACAAAGTTATTGACTGTATGATCAGTATGACAGTCATGAACAGATCGCCACTGGGCTTTCAACTAAAGACACAGACACGCAAAAACTGCGGCATGTGTACGGCTCCTTATGGGTAGGCTACTGCAATTTTTGGAAGTACCGGAGCGGTGTTCTGGTGCTCTCCGTCAGCACTACACCCCTGTCAGACGAGACATATACCACGTGATGACAGGTTAGGCTCGTGTTGTGTTCAAGGACCCTGACCTTGACCAGGAAAAACAGGCACTCGCTTGTTTAATTTTTTTGCGGTCTAGATTTCTTTCATTTTTTTCTTTTTTGCGTGTGTTTATAAATTACCTCGAGGGCCGTAGCTAATGGTCTCGCGGGCCGTATTCGGCCCAGGGGCCGGAGGTTCCCCACCCCTGGATTAAGGTGTTGATTTGTGCTGAAAGTGAGAGGCAAATAAACAGTGTATCTAAGGGCAGACCTCCAGGACTGAGACGTTATGCTTAAGTGCATTAAACCTGCATTCTCTCTAATGGCCAGCAGGGGAAACGGACTGTATAGAAGTCTGAGAAAATTACCCAACTTCTCACTTGATTTATTACCTCAGTAAACGTTTCCAAATGAGTTTACGGTCTCAATTGCTAGTTTTAAAACTTCATCAATACAGCATAATGTTCATTTTATATAATCATGCTCCCATTTCGAGTAAAAATAGATAATAAGGCAGCATATGCTTTAGGGCGGGGCTACCTCGTAATTGAACACTAACATGGCAACCTGTTTAAGTGTATTGTTTGAAATAGATACATATACCCCTTATATTATATGTAAGAGAGGAACTAATATGCAATAATAATGGTTATACAAAAATCACAGTAAACCAAATTAAGCCTAAAAATCGATATCAACATCGGTATTGTTTCACTCCCAAAACCAAAGCTAGTTCAGCTGCTTTCCACTTCACAAGCTTGGCATGATTCAAATGATTCTGATTTCTACTACTGTCTTCTCACACCCGCCTAACAATGTTAAATATTCTATTCATCCAATGTTTGAAAAGCAATTGATGGTGTCAGGGAACATGGTTTAAACATAAGATTTGTAAGAAATACTATTAACCAATAAATGAGTTCAGCAATATAAATTCTGACAAACAGACAGAGGGTTGATATGTAGATTAAACCTTTCCTGATTAGCTTGAAGCTTACCTCCCCACTTCCTTCTCTGTGGCATTTCATTTAGAATTGATTACCTTTGTGCATTAGTTTCTAAAATGTTTTTTTTCTACAAGCTGTATTGACACAATCTCTCTGTGTGTTAAGATTTTTGAGCGGATACTTTTCATCTGGGCCATCCGCCATCCAGCCAGTGGCTACGTGCAAGGCATCAACGACCTGGTCACACCGTTCTTCGTCGTCTACGTGTTTGAGTACATCGGTAAGTGCCATCTCTCACCCCTTTCCTTTTCACTTCAAAACTCCCTAATCTTTGGTTTGATATGCCATCGATGTGAGGATCAGTCCTCCTCCCTTTGGCTGCTCTCCTCAGTGCAGGATGGACGTTTCGTAGCCGGCAAGACTCACGGTTCATCAACTCGGGTCACAGGGAATCAACCCTGGGACCCCCGAGACAGTCTGTAAAATCTCAATCTAAATCACTCTTCTCTTCCATCTATCTGCTCTACTTTCATTTAGACATTTGAGTATCAGTTTCAATGTGCTTGTGACTTCTCGAAGCATCTTAGGTTGGATTTTGGTGTTTGCTGTGTGTGTGTTTGTTTAAGAACACGACCTGTGGCGTGTACGCTCTCCTTTCCAGAGCCCTCCTGCTGTGTGCATTTATGTTGTGCAACACTTAAAATCTCACACTTAATTATTTTGACAGGATACACATAATCTTCCAAATGCAAAGCACGCACAAACTGATGGAAAATCCTCTTTTTATGGAAGATTTTAATACGATTTTGGGGTATTACAACTGTAACCATGGTATAAACAATAAAAACATTCTTCCTTTATTAGATATGCACTAAAAAATATGCACTAAAAGAAACTAATTAGGATACATTTAATTAAGGCTTATGGCTGGATTTGAATATGATAACAATAAGCTTTGTTCATATAGCATCTTTCATGCAAGATTCAGCCCAAAGTGCTTTACAAAATAAAGATGGAGGAACATAATTATAAATATGTTTTATTTTTATTTATTTTTTTAATACTTTTTATTTTATTTGTTAAGACATTACAAAGGGAAAAAAAACAAGTAACATATAACATACAGGTCACTGGGGTAATACATCATCAATATGTTCTCAGCAATTATTCTTGTGATATGGGAAGATCTCCCTCACAACGGGTTCACAACCAATATAAATAAGTTATAAACAAACGGAAAGAGTTAAAGAATATAAAAATAAAGAATACATCATGAACAGATGTACAACAAAAATTACCCCAAATTAAAAGCCAAATAAAAAAAGATAGGTCTTGAATTGACTTGTAAGAACTCCAATGGAGTTGCTGTTCTAATATGGCACATTGAAATAATTTTTTTTATAAAAGACAATACAAAATGGTGAATTCTGTGAATGCATGTTCAAGATGTTTATGAACGAATCCATTTAATGTTTTAGGTCCCTTTTTTCTCCCTCATTGTACAGTTGGTTTTGTATCACCTATAGCACGGGTCCTGATGCCATTTTGATCACCAACTGGGAGTTTTTCAGAAAAGAGAAAACAATCAGCGCGTTTTTAAGAAGCAATTTTGCGACACACTCCTTCTCTTTATGACTTCTGCGGATAATCTGAGGGAAAGTTTACAAGCGGTACGCGATGGGTATTGACCCCACGCTGTTGTGACATGTTTTTAAGTGGTTGGAGCCACTCCAGCTCCACTGGATGTGTGCGTTTCGGCACGATTCCTCCTTGACCGAGATTTTCTATACATATACACCCTGATTTATTTAGTTATGTTTCGGCCCATCGAGCTCTCCTTGAAGCCATTCAGAATAGAGCTGCTAAGTGGATACCGCAATGCTCTGCGGACCACCTTGCTCACTGCAGACAGAGTGTGGTCACTGGGAGACACAATTAGGATCCACAAGTAAAGTAGAGGGAAGCACGCAAGAGTCTGACTCCTGAGTCTCTTCCCACTGATTTTGTCACGCAGCTTAGAGCTAATGAGTGTTTGTTTTAAAGCCCAACTTTTTGTAGTACTTCTTCTTTGGTTCTTTAAGTATAACGCAATACAATGTAACTACAGTAGCTCCAGAATGACAATGAAGTTGAATCAACACCTCTAATACCTCATTCACACCAACGCAACTCCGGTTCAAGCTCCGTGCTAGAGCTTTTAGGTTCAGAACCGGTTCTTCGGTTAACTCCGGCTCTTTTCACACTGCCCAGAGTCCGACTGGTGCTGCGTCATTGCGTCATCGTTTGCGTCATGACGTAACCGTTTGCGTGCCTGCTTCATAAAGCCAAACCGCGCAAAACCCCTCACAGCTGACACCGACAATAACAACAATGGCCGATTGTGCTCCAGCTTCCTCTGTAGCTCTTCGGAAGACCAGATTTCCAGTAGGTAGCTGGTTACGTTTCTCCATCGTTGTGTACAAACTGGATAAAACGCCGGATTTTTGTTGTTGTTCAGGAGTTGATCCTGCCCCTGCCCCTGCCCCCGCCTCGACGTAAGCGTGACGTATGTGGTGCTTTTGCTCTGGCCGGACAATTTGTTGGTGCTCCAAATGAACCGGATTCCGGAGCTAAGAGGCTGCTCCGCTGCGGTGTGAACAGGAAAACCCGGTGCTTTTCAAGCTCCAGCTCCGAACCGGCCCTGAAACACCGTTGGTGTGAATGAGGTATAAATGAACATTACGACCTCCATTAAGATTCGGGAGGTTTGTTTGTCCTTCGTTAACCTCTCTTGTTCTTCACTTTTCCTTCTCATTTCCTTTATTATTACATCCGTCTTCCACTATCTTTCTCTATCCCTACCTCTCTCTGCATTTGTTTCTCTGCCTTGCTCTGTGGGTGAGTCAGGCTCTTGTCAGATCTTCAAGGCATCATCCCGTGCTTTGTTCCCCTGCATCTCCATGAGATGATGAGCCTTGAATAACACACACCCAGCCAACAAACCTTCAAACGTGCCCGGCTGGCATCTTACATGACTGGTTGATGCGCCGTCTTGTCGTCGTTAGGGGTTCTTGTTTTTCTGACGCACAGAGAGGTTCGGCTCTTTCATTAGGTTCGCCTGATTCGCCTTCTTTTGTGGAGGGGTAGGAAGTGTGAGAGATACTCAAACACGCTGTCTTGCTCTCCGTCTTCTCCTCCTGCCGTCTTTCTTGTTTGCATTCTGTCTTTCCCTACCTCCTTATTTAGTGAGCTTGTGAGTGTATTGTGATAGCAGGAAGTTAATTAGAAAGTCAGAATTATTATCGCTACAAATAATTAAATGAATACTATTACATGGCAATGTAGATATGATGCTTGAATACGAAAAAAAAGGACAACAGTCACACTTAAAGGTGTTTTTAGGTACTGTAACTTTTGTGTGTACCTTTCAATGATTGTTTGTAGGGATGCGGCTTCTATAACTTGCTTTTTAGTGGCATAATAATACATTTGCCAAATAAAAATGGCCCCAAGTACTCAAGCAATGTTCGATATATTCCTTAATTCTCCCAACCCTAATTCAAGTCCAATATTCACTCTCGTTTTGGCTCCGTTTTGTTTTCTGCATTTCCTTTTCATTTGGGACTTGAAGTGCATATACATTTATGTCCTGCTTAAAGTCCGGTCCGCAGTGTTTAATGGACTCAACTTTGTTAGCTGTTGTTGGAAGTGAGCCTTGATAGTTCATATTATGGTACAGCGACCTCATCAGTAGCCCCTTAAAGCTGTAAAACTAACGAGCAGCGCAGTAAAGTGGCTTAGATCAGCTTGCGGCAAAACGCCTCTATGGGTTTATGTCCTGCGGAGCTCAATTGAGTGACAAAGCAGCCAGAGCCAAAATGCCTTTTAGAAAAGTACTTGCTATTCACACTAATGCACACTTTTCACGAATGTAAAGCTGCGTGAATTTGAGTGACAGCCAGAATCCGGAGATGAGAGCCAGTTCATCGATTGGGAAACTGATAAAGACTTTGACCTGCTTCATTTACACTCTAAACAAGTCTTTTCAGCCTATTCACTTTTCCATGTTGTCTCTTGACAGAATATATTTTCCATTTTCCTTTTCTTTCCCTCTTTTATGTCTCATTTTAGTTGTATTTTGGAGATTCTTTCATTGCTTGATAACGCTTTTATGCTTGAGAGTCTGTATATAAGCAGATCGGGATAGATTGAATCACTCCCACACTCTGCTGCCCACCACATGCCTCGGCATATGTTTGTTTACTTGTTATCCTTTTGTTCCACTATTCATATCTGTTACTTTGTTAGTGTCATTCTCACTGCTTCTTTGGCTCCCTTTTTCAAGTCATAAAACAGCCTTGGTTTGGCACTGCAGTGCTTGTTCAGCTGCCATTAGCTCCATTTACCTTTTGATGATGCAATGATGGCCCGGCTACTTCCCAACACTCCACCCGTTTGTCCTATTTCCAACTTTCATTAACACCTGCCTTTTATTCCAAATCAAAGAGTTCCAATTAGTAGATTATTGATAAATTCTTGCGATGCTAAGGAAAGGAAATCCCACTCAAGTTGTTGTGTATCCACCTGGAATGTTAAGCAATCCAGCAGTCATCCCTCGTGTCAAAGGAGAAATAGATTTTGGGAGTGTATCGTTTTCGTTCTCCACCTGTAAGGCATCACTTTGCTTTCGCCCTCCCCCTCTTTCTTCCACAGTATAGCGCCTCTCCCATTAGCCGACAATAAAATTCATCTAATTAAGGCCGGAATGGGCCATGACGGGCCAAGGAGCAGGGCCAGTCTTCCTTTAATGCCGAGCGGCCATTGATCGGCCAGAAGATCCATAATGTAATCTGCATGCCAGTGTCTAAGTATGGATCCACTGTGAGGAAAGATGAAAACACAGTAGCAGGTTTTAGAGGCGAGTTAGTGCAAACTAAATTGAGAAAAGTGATGGAGAACCACAGCTAGAATGAAGACACACACGAATATAACAGCAGCCAGCAAGGGAATGACAGAGAGGGACAAACAACAGAGGTGAAAAACAAGATCTTCAAAAAATTGGGAAATAAGCGGAAATAAGAAAATGCCCCCATGCTGTCAAGGAGCGGTCTCACCAGGTAGTCTTTTCTCCTATAAACTAAGAGATGAATACCTTGGTGCAGTCACTTTTTTCCTCTGTGAAGCTGTACTTATTTCTGTCAGAAAGGGGCTTGCAACAACTTTTCTGCTAAAAGGATTTTTCTTGGAATTCAGCAATTATCTCTGTACTAACAGGTTTGTTCACCGCTATGTGAAAGCAAT